ATTTTTTTTTTTTTTTTTTTTTTTTTTTTTTTTTAGTTTTGCTTTTTCAAATCAAAGCCAGTTGTTTCCGAATTCTGTAGGTGCACTTCTTTAAAGAAGCAAAAAAAAAAAATGGGGGAAAAAATGCTAAAAAAAAAAAAAAAAAAAGTTGGAATCGAGGTGTAACGTTGCAAAAGAAAATACGAGCTGTTGTTGAATGTTACGGCGCTTCCTTGGCACTAGGGTTTTGTACCCAGGGAGGAAAGGGGTTGCCATGTGAGCTGGCTCCTCGTGATGGGAGTGGGGAGGGTTTGCCAGGGAATATCCTGGTTTCTGAGCCCAGTCTGAGGAAATCTGTTTCTCTTAGAAAGCTTTTTGAAAACAATGTCTTGTGACTCTTGCTTTAGAACGAGTCGGTGTGGTAGGGGGGAAAAAAACCTTCTTAATTCCCATGTTTTTCTCGGCGGTTTGGTGTGTGACAGGATGTTTTATGCATATGATTTGGGGGGTGGCGGTGGAGGGGGCAGTCTGATTTCTTTCCTTTTTTTTTTTTAACATACATTTCTTTGTCTTCTGTGGTAAAAATAATGCTGAAGTGTAAGGCTATGGATTTCTGTTTGGATTCTGCCGTATTGGGGTAATTGCATGTGTTTCTCAGTGGGGTAGGGTTTGGGCACTAACACATCTTTTCGCTTGTGTTGAAATGGTTACTGGGAGTGGGTAAATCTCCTGGGGTCACTGGCAAAACTCCAGTGGGGTCAGTGTCCCCCCCGTCCCCCAAGATCCCTGTTAAAACTCAATCCTACTCACCCAAGCAGGCACACCTGAACCCAAAACACGGAGAGAGAGAGAGAGAAAAGAGAAATCTTAGCCTTGTTTTAGCTTCTAGACGCCTTCCAAAATGGATGGTGGTGGAGAAGTAATTCAGCAATACTCTCCACATCCCCCACCAAAATGTTCTTAAAACAAAAAAAGCATCTGAACCTCTCGACCATCACCCTTAGTGTCCTTAGCTACTTGAGACATGGCTAAAGCTGAGGAGCTGCTCTGCTTTTCAAATCTTTGTGAGCAAGTCAAGGTCTCGGGTCTTGTCCCCTACCTGTGAGTTGGACATGTGTGTGTGGCAATAGAAACCCAGGAACCACCCAGCCCCAAGGAGCACTGACCCTTCTGGAGCTGCTCCTCAGTCATGTACTTTTGGTCCTGCCAGGGCAGAGTGCTCTGGGGATCCTCACATGAGAAAAGGGGGAAACTGAGGCAAGCAGCTTTCTCCATGGGCAGCTGGGATGAGTTGGAGGTAGCCTTCAACCAGGTCCTTGGCAGTGGGTTTGGTATGTGGCATGCCCCTGCTGATGTCACCAGAGGAGGTATGGATCCGTCGGTGATGTAGATCTCATGGATCCCCCTCTGGTAGGTTGGGGACCCCCAGACTGAAGAGCAGCCCCCAGGCAGTCCCTGGTCCTCCACAGCCTAGACCTTGGCAACCACCCCCAATTTTAGCAGGCCCATGAGGAAGGACAATCCAAGCTTCTGTGCAGGGCATGCCCCAGTAGTGGTGCATGGAAAAGGGAAGAGGTACGTGTGCGTGTATCTGGGGAGGGATGAATGGCATCATCTGAAAACAAGTCTTCTGACAAGACTATTCTACTTATCAAAATTGAGCAGAATTTTTGCATGTCCTCCACAAAAAGCCTTTGTGAGGAGCCTCTGGGTCCAGCACTCCAACATCACCCAGACCAGCGGGGCTCCTGGGTGTGGGAACACCCCAAGTTAGCTCTCAGTCTTCCACCTCCCCAACTGCACACGCAGGGACATGGGGACCCTCTCCCTGTCACCCCAGAGCTTCCTGCTGAAGGCTTTGGGGCGATGCTGGGGATGGTCCTTTTAACTGCAGAAGACAGTATAGAGTGTCCCACCACCACTGTGAACCAATGGGGAGAAGGAACCACTTGCAACTTCTTGAGGAAAGACCTGTGCACACATGTGCACATGCACATTGTGTGTGTGAGGGCCTGATCCTGCTGCTGAAATCTCCCCCAGGTGCAGGTTTGGTTGCCTGGAGCAGGACCTAAACCTCAAGAAGGTTGAAGGGAGAGTTTCAGTTGACTCCTGGTGACCTTGGACCTGTCCCTCATGCCTTCTGCCTAGAAGAGACAGGCTGCAAAAGCCAGGCTGTGCTTCCCTCAGGTGAAATAAAGGCTAACGTAAAATTCCTGTTGATTTTGGTGGGACTCCCCTTGTTTCTTCCTCAAAATACTGAGACAAAATCCACGAGGTTTCTGATTTAAATGCAAGCAGGGAGAAAATATGGCATAGAGGTACGCTCATTTCTTTTCTTCCCCCTAGCCTAGTCTTCATCTCAGAGGGCAAAGACCATGGCTTGGTGGCTCCTATCAGTGTTGAAGACTGAGGTCCCCCCAAAAACTAAACCCAGCCTCCTGCTGGAAAAACATTTCCCTGCTCCCCTGCACTTTCCCAGCCCGACTACTTGTGTTGGCGGGGCACCTCAGACGTTGATCTGATAATTGAGTTATTAAAAGATTTGGTTTCCTCGGGATCATAAATCAATAAACAGGAGGATTAACACGGCAGCTTTGCTTTTTAACTCAAGGGAAAAGTTTGAGGAGAGACCGTGAAAAGTTTGTTTTCAAACCAAACAGGTGGGTTGCTGTAAATTTTATTTAATTCTTAGTTCCACTTTTTTTTTTTTTTTAAATAACAATTCTCTATTTTCCGTTGGAAAGATCTTTGTTTTTGTATGCTCCCTGACTTTTTTTTTTATTATTAATATTATTATTATTATTATTCCCCTGGTTGTTATTCACACAAGGTGTGACGGAAAACAAGAAGCCAATTTTCTGGGAATCCTTTTACAACCCGATGATTTCTTTAAAATCGGGTGGTGTCTTGTCCCACCTAATAGAAAATTCTCTGTGAGAAGCTGTTTCAAGTCCCTTTGCATCCCGGACCAACCTCCCCCCAAAAAATCCCCCAAATTTCCATTTGGGGGTTGGGTGGGAGCGTGTGTGGGGGATGGTTTGAAGAACCTTTAGCTGTGCCCAAAGGGCTTATTCCCTTCCTCTACTCATCTCTTTTTGACCGGTTTATCACTCAGACCTATTGGGTTCTGTTTTAAGACATTTCTCAGAGAATTTGGTGCTCGTTTCAGCTGCCGTTAAGCATTTCTAGATCGATCCGGCCAACCCCCCCCCCTCCCCTCCGGCTTCCCTGTGTGTGAGAGAGACCGCAGGCTTTTTACAAATAGTATATTTTCTTATACAAAGGGAAAAATAAAAAAAAGTGCAAAGAAAATCTTCCCCCCCGAACACACTGGCAAACGCCTGAACATTTAAAGAGAGACGAAACATTGTGTGCCAGCCAAAAAGAAAGGAAAAACAAACAAACAACAAAAAAACCCCAAAACAAACCACAAACAGATGCAAAGCTCTGAAAAAGAGAATGAGAAATGGAAAGATGAAAGGAAAAAAAATAAAAAAAATCTCCTTTTATGCCCCAAACGATCCTTTTCACCTCCTCTTCTTGAAAAAAAATCTGACCATGCAGTGAGAAATATCAGTTTATCGACTCTTCTTGAGAAGAAATGCGGAGAGGCATTCAGTATTGAGTTTGTATATATTTATTTATGCTTAATTTAACGGGAATGTGTAAATATGGCGAGCAAGTAGTTTTTGGGTTATTTATCTGTGAATCTATACCTCTGTGAATGGGTGGGGGAATTTAAAAGCAAAAAGTAAAAAAGAAAAAAACAAACAAAAAAGAAAAAAACAAAACCAACAAAAAAAAAAAATCCCGCTTGACTAGATAGCATCCTATCTGAATCTTTTCTGTTCTTTATAGACAAGCTGTTATGGTAATGGGTAGAAATTGGTTTCTTGTCCAGTGATGACCTGATTTACATAAATAATAAGAATAAGAATAAAAAAAAAAGAGATTGTTGTGTTTTGTTGTATTTTCCTCTTCAGTTTTTTTGAATGTTGGTGCTGCTTCGATTCTGCAGACGGATTTACTTATAACGCCAAGAAGTCTTTATTTTCCCAATCTAGGCTTTGGGGAAATTCAGGACATGTCTCTACATTAAAAAAAAAAAAAAAAAAAAAAGACAATAAATATTGCTTCTCAGAAATGTTGGTATTTTATTTCTGTCTGACTCAAAAGTGTCCATATTTTTACCACTCTTACCTCTTCATTCTAAGCAGACCTATAATAAACCTCATGTCATGTTAACGTGAGCTTTCGTTTCATTTTGCTTTGACCAACTGAATTAGGAGCAAACCTTTTTTTTTTTTTCTCTTTTAAAAATACGGATAAAGAATTACTGTACCAGCAGGCAGGAATTCAGATTGCAGAAAGTAAGTTCCAAGAAGCAAACACCAACCCAATTCATTTACACACTGTTTGAGGTGTAGGGAAAACTACAAGGTTGTTTAAACAGGTTTCCTAAAAAAAGTGTCAGTTTAATTTATACAGATGACATTAACAGGATCCAATTGGGAGCAAACCTTTTTTTTTTTTTTTTTTTTTTTTTTTTTTTTCTTTTTTTTTTTTTTCTGACTTTTCAAACTATCAGCCATTAAAAGAACATGTTATGTAAGCCTTCAATATCAGGGAACTTGT